CCCTGCCCATAGTACCAGCCCAGCTGCTGGCACCCAGACACACCCCTGCTCCAGCTGCTACCGCCACAGACACATGGGCCCCTGTGGCTGGGATGCTGCTCCAGTTGCTGGCACTGAAGTCCACTCACTCTGGTCACTCCAGTTGCTGCACCGTGGACATGTGGATCCTCCATGGTCTGACTGCAGTTGCTGGCACTCAACCAGCCATACACACTACCTTCCGCCTCCCCGGAATACAGAGTCCCCTCACCTGTGAAACGAATCAGAAAGCAATTTAACAAGAAGAGAGGACAGACTGCACTAGCTGGGTGCAAGTGCATCAACCAGCAACTATTTATATATGACTGGCCCTGTTTACCCCCTTACCCCTCTATTTTCTTACGCTTGTTCCTCCCAGAATCACTTAGCTGTATCCATTTTCCTCCAAACATCTCATAATAAGCCCTTGCAATCCCAAAATGCTCTTCCCGTGCATCCCATAATGGTCCTCCTCCCCCCTACCCCCGCCCCGGGAGTGGCCCAGACAGTGTGTCTCTCTGGGTTAATTAATTAATTTGAGTTCCCACTTGCCTTGGCGCCTCTGTGCTGCTCTGTGCTTGCGGAGATGCGTTTCTGGTGGGCTGGTATCTCCTGTGATGGGCCTGGGAGCAGGAGGGACAGGCTATTATTTGGGCTCCCCCACCTGCCATTGCCTCTCTGCAGGGATGCAGAGGAGCTTTTATTGCATAACCTAACAGTCTGTGGCATGAATCTCTTGTGTCCATGAACACTGAAGATATGAATTGGTTTTTTCCACTAGTGGTTAAAAGGAGCTTTAAAAACCGATGAAGTACTAAGTTCCTAAAAGTGAAGCTATTATTGGTATATCCAAATTTACTTTCAGGGATCTGTATTGTAGGGGCATTTGAAAGGGATCTGCAAATCAAATGAAATCTGAGAGATGACTGAAGGTCACTGTAGGACTGCATATCAGGGAGGAGATTACACAGCAGAGGCTGTGTTGTAACTATTCAGTTATTCAAAGCATCAGTCTGACATAAAATCATGTTTACCAGAGAAAACTAGGCAATTGTCATAGTCTCCATTCTACTACTTTGATGGGGTATGTTTTTGTTATCCTGGGCAACGATGAAAGTCTGTAGTAAAGACCATAGTTGTATTACTTTAAAAGAGTATATATGTGT